TTCAAAAAAAGGCCAAAAAAGGGGGGTCCGGGGTCCTCCCCCGGGAAAATTTTGATTCTTAGATGGCGGGAAATGAGCTTTCCAGACGTCTGAGTTGTAAGATGTGTATAAGAGACAGTATATATATATTGATTATATAAATTATTTTGACTTACCAAATCCTCCACAAATTAAACTGAAAGTCACGCAGATGCAGGTGAAGTATAACATGGTTAATAGCAGACAGATTTTAATTTTAGAATGACTCAATTCAAGAGAGGAGACGAATGCGATAAGGGAACTAGACTCGAATAATGGTTTTATTTATCGCCTTTTCAATTTTTTTTTTATTTTGATATTCATACACTCATGCGCTAAATAATTAGTTTACGTTTTTAAATGTTTAAAGTATCTAAAAAATCAATAGTTTCTAGTTGAATATGGATTAACAATTAACGTATAGAAGAAAATACGGCACCACGAGCAACGACTGCCGAAATGGGGCCATATAAATGGAACGATTGATTTTTTAATTGAAAAGAGGAGAGAATTCAGTCACCAAACATGTAAAGCAAACAATAGCTGAAAAGCCTAACAAGGCCAATATCTAAACAACATATATTTTCACAATCGATGTTTACCAAAATCACAACCTACTCCTCTATAACAAGAAACACCTTATAACAATACTAGTCTTTACGCTAGTGGAATATACATTAACCTATTAAAATTAGCGTAGGCTTATCTTTTAATATAAACGGTGTCTTTATTTAACAAATATCGAAATAAAATTTAAAATCTTTCTGTAGCAGCCAAAGCTGCTCGTCACACTGCTTGTCCTCTTCATCCATGAGCATAAATAAGTATCTGGTGATTGATTCGGGATTAAATTAATAGTGCTGAACTAAACGCATAGGCCTATTAGGAATATTCCCCAGGACCATTGTGTATGATTAATTCTATATAATGACCAGGGGAATAGGTGCCTTGAGCAGTTTTCTGGATATGTGCACTACATAAATCCTATTAAATAAAAAAAATAAATAAAAAATGGCATATTTTACGCTGTTTCTTTTCAATTCTATAAGACTGGGCATGGGTGAGGACCAGTTGCCAAACAGGTGCCGCACCTTCTAGAACGGGACGAAAATAATTAACAGATATTGCACTCTGCAATAAGCTCCACAACACTAAGGCCAGTCTACGTAAAATAAAAAGTATCATGTTAGCTTATAAATGGATTTAATATTTCCTTCTCATTTTAAATCAGTTCAAGTTTTACAGTTCAAGAACAATACCAAGGCGTTTTACAGATGTAACAACAGACACAGGTTGGCCGGAGAAGTGAAGGTCCACTTCCGGAAGACATTGGCGACTAAAATACACATGGAGACCTGGCATTTATCAGTTCAGTTTAAGCTTCTTGTCTGTAAACCACTTGTCCAACGAATTCATGGCTATTTGTGCTTGCTGTTGTCACCGTTATTTAAGATTTTACCTTAAGTAATGTCGTCAACGTACTTTCAAACGTAAATGACATATTATTTTACAATCGATTAAGACATTGAAAAGCTGTTTGTCGGAAAACTCGGGAATGAACGGTTAATTAGATTTAAAAGAAATTCTAACTAAAGAGTAATAACTATTATTTGTCTATCTTTTTCGTATCGTTTAGCATCGCTAAATACACTGACAGCAGGGGCGGATCTAGGTTCATATTTAGGGGGTGGGGGTCGGACTTTTTTCATAAAAAGGCCAAAAAAGGGGGGTCCGGGGTCCTCCCCCGGGAAAATTTTGATTCTTAGATGGCGGGAAATGAGCTTTCCAGACGTCTGAGTTGTATTTTAATGACTTGTTTTAATCGATTGTAAAAAAATATGTCATTTAAGTTCTTCAAAATTCAAGGTTTTCCCCCTCTTGAAAACAATCAGGTAAACTTTCTGATTCTTATTACAGTAAATAGGCCTATTTATGTGTGTATAGGTACATACAAAAATTGAGTTGCTTACGTATTTTTTTCCATGAATGGATAACCCCAAAGAGGAAGGGGGTGAGGGTCCTCCCCCAGGAAAATTTTGACCACTAGGTGGCAGGAAATGAGCTTTCCCGACTTCTGAGGTGACTTTTAAGTTCTTTAAATTTTAAGGTTTTCCTCCGCTTGAAAACGGTCGGGTAAACTTCTCATTCTTATTACTGTAAATACTAGTAGCCCTGCTATGTGTGTACCGGTATGTACAGTACATAACAAAAATTGAGTCAATGCATACATATTGTTTTTTTCAATAAATTGATGAACAAATTGATGACGGTGGTCGGGGGTCCTCCCAGGAAAAATTTGGTTCTTAGATGGCGAGAAATGAGTTTTCCGGACTTCTGAAGTGTCTTTTAATCAAAATTCAAGGTTTTCCACTTTTGTAAACGGTCAGGCAATTTTTTCTCATTCTTATTACAGTAAATAGGCCTCTGTGTGTACC